CACGAGAACTTACACGATGTTATCCTTCCCGTTTTCTTATAACGGTGTGGGATCCCTTTCCAATAACCGCATACCCTCTGATATCGAGAGGTCTCAGGATGCTGTATAAAAGCTTCGCCACGTTCTCATGAATGATCCTGCAATGGTTAATTTGGCTTGAGACCATGGGATTTGAAAATATTCAAACGTTCCATTTATGTTGGACAGTGTTGTTGGTTTAGTCTACTTCCATTACAGGGCATGATATATTATGATAATTTTAAACCGGTGACTTTTCCTTTGACTATGTGAAGTCGACCAAACCTAGTACTCATTACCTAGCTTTGTTCTCGAGTTATTTATTTTTGCCACCGGGCATCGACATATTTTAGGCCTCAGCATCCACAGTCCGCCACCTTCAAGGGCATCGCACCTGTGTGGCTGCCAAAGTAATGACTATGTTGGATTGTCCCATTTGCAATGTGTGTCCCACTTTGAGAGCCAATGATGGGCTCTAGTAGGCTTGTCCTCCTGTCCACTTTGAACTGATACCTACCCACACGTTGGGTTGACATTGGAAACCCATATTACGCCAACACTAGACACTGACGTGCGGCTGAACATTTAGACGTTCAGGAGGGACCTAGAGTGAGCTTCTACATGTGTTGTGCTTTTCTAACGGAGATCATGCCGCCCAGTATCTCTCTGTCCAGCTTCAGCGAGACCTGAGACCTTCCTCCCCTGGGTTTCCCTTTTCCTGGGACGTTTACTTTTTTTTTTACACGGGATTATAAATATAATTTTATTTATTCCTCATTCATCTGGTTCCTTTCTCGATTCAAACGTGCTTGGCTTGTAAGATCCCTTGAGTGTTGTATATTTTTTTCGCTCCGGAATACACATTTCCGAAAGGAAGCCAGACACTGCCCCCGCAATCTAGGGATATTCACTTACGTTCTCCTCCCCCCCATTGGAGTCAGACCCCTAGTTCACTTATCTTTCCTCCACAATTTCGGGGAGTCTTCCTGAGCAGTTGAACCTGTCTAAACAAGCACCTTGAGGAGTTCGAGTGTTCCTACACCCCATCTTTGATGTGGGAAAAGTCCAAGTACCGCATGAAGAGTGCAGAAGACTTAGAGCGTGTCACACCCTCCTGTTTCCCCTGAAATACCGCGATTTCACGCCATCTCGCTTCATTTTGGCAAAATCTCCTTGTTCGAATACGTAAGATAGATGGCTTACCGACATAAAATACATTTTCTGCCTCACTAGCGCGGATGTGTGACCTGCATTAAAAGCCCACTGCTATGTAAGCCCACTCTCCCCCACTCACAGCCAATATGTTCTGACTCCGTGCTTGCTTTATCTCTTCTGTTTCCCTCTTGGCCTGTCATTTAATTATCGTGCCAAAGACAAGTCATGGCCTATGTGAACCCGCCTGATAGGCCTAGATGTATATCTTAATTATTTTCAATATACATGCGACCAATAATTCTAAGAGTTCCACACGATGTCCTAATTCCGTACTTCCTTGGGATTATCTTTCTCTCTACGGTATTATTGCAAGCGCAAGGATCGCTGTCTCCATAGGAAGGATTATCGAGAAAGCCCTTTGTATTAGGAATATAGCATTGAAATGGGTTTATAATCTAAATCTGGAAATCTATAGTATTTTTTTCCTAGAGTACCTGGGCAGTGCACCAAGAAAAACAGTATTATTTGGTCCCAATAGCCAACGTATTCATTTCCGTATCAGTCTGACTGTTACTCTCACTGTTTTTATCTCTGTGAATGTCCTATCCGACGAATCTATACAGGGTGTCCCATAAGTCACTATGCATCTTAAGAACATCACATTTACAAAAAAGTTGGCACAATAAAGAAGTAACATTAATGAAAAATAGCATTTAATTGCAATTATCTTTGGCGAAAATGCAATCTGAGTTTTAAAAATGCCTCAAAATGCACTCTGCCTGCATTAATACATTTGGCATGGCGCTTTCCAGGGAAAAGTCGCTGAAATCCCCTCTGCACTCTGACAGGACTCTCAAAGACCTCCATCCTGGTTGAAACGTTTCTTCGTTCCTCCGGCGTCAATTGTGAAGCCTTTTCCCACGATAGCGAAAGCAAATTAAACGTAATGATAAGTCTATCTGATAATAGAAGGAGAGGAAAACATAAACCATAGCGAATTTTTGGATGATGATTCAACATGGTGTCCCATGAATCGACCCAAACCTTTCTTTTATGCATTTGATGCAATTTCCGCTTGAGTCTGATTATCGTCATTCCGTTTGAGTCATTATTGTGAAAAATCTAGAGGACGTTCTCTCCATCTATACTGAAAACAACATGCATATTGTAGTTTGGAAAATATTGCTGTTTGAAATGGTAAGTGACTTTTGGATACCCTATATACGAATGTGCAGTACACCATCCGTGTGTGAACTCATCCTCCACGCAATTTCTTTACTCAGTCTTATCAGTGGCTAGATTAGAGAAGATTAGAGAAGTCGAAGCGGAGAAGCTCTGATAAAGAAAATTCCTCAGCTACGGAATATGCTCTTCTGTTCTAGCTTATCGTGCCCTTCAGGGATCCCATTTTGAGGAGTTATACTTAAATTCTTCTATAAGTTGCATCTCGCTAGAACCGATCTCAGATCTTTACTTTCTCGCCTCCACATGTGTTACTCCAAGCAAGACTTCCCTACATGATCCACTCAGCATGTGACCTAAGTTAAGAACCGCCAATGATATAGGCTTTTCCATTTGCTAAGTCATTCCAGACTGAGATCGAACATGGAGGAGATCGCCAACATACTAGCTAAAAACTCAAGAAGCTTGGAAATCATACATATTGATGCAATATTGGATGATTTGCGAGCATGGGAAATCATCCAGAACGACGAGTACTTGGATAACATCAACAAGAAGGCACGAGAAAAGCGCTTGTTCCTGTTGGAGATCCTTCCTAGCAGAGGAGATAACGCCTTTCCTGCATTCTTGGAATCCCTTCAGAAACAAGGGCAAGATATGCTCCAGTTGGCCCACAAACTAAGCATGAGTGGTGAGTGCTTGGTTGGGAAAGACTTTTGACCAAGTTCCTTACTGCATTGAACTTGCTTTGGTAACGGGAATCTATGAATGTCGAAGCTTTGCATTTGACATATGAGATATGACAAAGTAATTGTCTGTTGCTCGTTCTACTTTTTAGCAAGTACGACATTGTTCTTGAAGAACTCATGAGCGACTGCATAAGAGGAAAAAAGCGTTTGCATTCTTTGGGAGGAAATGGGCGAATATCATTTGTCACTTTCTTCCGGAAGATAACGGCTAATAATGAGAGCGTTCGGCGAGCGAGGATGGGAGAGTTGCAAAACATGGGACACAAAATGAGTCTCAATGTAGGATTAACTACGGAGAATCTAGGCTTTTTGTCGAAGAAGTAGAGGTGAACTTCACCAGTCCTCGAAATTGTCCGTTTCCACTTGTACTGTAAATGAAGGCTATAGGAAGAGCGGCTATAGGAATAAAAATATTTTCCAGTGGGCTTGTCTTAACTGACATTGGGTACTTCAATAACTTATATTTTAATTCAAGGAGCCCGAAAGTCGTTGTGGTGGCTGTCACCCCAACGCGCGAGGCCAATGAGACTATGTCATTTTAGGCCATAGGCTTGGCCATCCAACGCTCTTAGCGCCAGGTCCATAGGGCTCTACCAGTCTGAGCCATAGGCTGTGGTTCATCTTATTATTACCATCGGCTTCATACTTGCCTGTGTCAATCATAGGGTCCTACTAACTGAATGCGTGTCAGGTTTTCACTGATCGGTTGGAAGTTCTCCATTTGAATACATACTTTGTTGAAGTATTTTTTCTATATATTTTTTTCGTTAGGTCAGGCGTGGCGGTTCGCGCCATATTGCCACGCAATAGTTTTCTGATTACGTTTCATGTCATGGCCGATTTATTTGAGTTTTCATGATTGATGAAGTCAAAATAATCACGTAAGTTCTTTGTTTCATATGTCACGCAAACGGGCCGCTCCTCCCATCAAAATGGTGGCGGTTTTTGTGAGGTGAGGTTGAACGCGAAGAAAAAATGTTGAAGGAGGTCCCACAGGCGATGAGGCAGTCGTTGCGGATATAAAACAATAGGTGCTGGTGGGGAAACAACATTTGCCACTGCAGTTGCGGCGTGAAGTGCCTAAATCAGTGCTTTAGTAGGTGCTAGCCGTAATGGCTAGAATGAGAGATGAACAGCACGCAGCTGTACGTAGGGAGCTTAGGGCCGTTGAACAACAGGAGGGAGCGAATGCTGAGCTTAGGAATAGGATAAAGGTGCAGCCTGCTGAGCAACTTGATGCAAGGAACCCAGCACTCAGGTGTCGAAAGTTGGGGGGTGGCTGGGAATTGAACCTGGACCTCCTGCTTGCCGATCAGGTGTGCTACCATTACACCCCAGAACTCGGGACATTTTGTTATGCCTGTCCATGTGATCTCAATAAAAACAGTCGTGTGCCACAGCGAGTAATGTCAGGCTGTACATTTTGCTGTAGGGAGGGGACATTTGTTTCACATTGCTCCCACAACGGAAAAGTGCTCCTACTGCAACTCACACTTTACCCTGAGGCTCTGAAAGTGTTGCTCACTGATGCTAATGTGGCGGCGAGGCATTTTCCGGAATTATTCGTTAGTATTGCGCCGCACATGCGCCAACTACCTTATGTGCTAAAGTCCAACAAGTTCTTGGAAATTGCCCGTACTGTTTCGAAATCAGTGGTATCCGCACCATAAGCTAATGCTAATAGCCCATGAGCTAATCCGTTATGCAAGAGTATTGAATGTCCTGCGACGACGAAAGCAATGTCGTCTTGAGTCTCATGTAAACCTGCTCACCGAGGCATTCACAATGGCGATTGTGGCAATGAGCTCGAATATCATGGTGATGGTGTTCAGGAACAAAATCTCCGTGTACTGTAGGCTGTTAGTGAATAAATCTATTGAATCGGTTCAGTTGCGAATGGGTAATACGATGAAGAGAGGATGTCAAGGAGACGTTATGCTCACACTATTCAAACTCAAATTTCCGTCTATTAAACGGCCAGCGTTGGGGCAGCTGGACGCTAGTACTTGTGAATTACTAGAGAGTATGTTTGCTCTCCAGGCTAAGAAACTCGCTGAGGACGTGACTTCGGTGCTCTACGCTCTGAAAAAATTTCGAATGCATTTCAAGCATTCATTCTCGATTCGCCTACCAATGTCGAGAAGCTTCTTGTGTCAAATAGTTTTCAATGTGGCTTTAAATTACGTCTGGCTGTGTGAAGTCATTGCCAAACTTTTATAAGGACAATGAAGCATATTATTATTTTTCAGTTTTCCACATCTGCTAATTTGCAGCAAAGTAACATTTCTTAGAAACATCCTCGCTTAAAAGTTTGTGTTCCTAGGGAAAGACCTCAAAAGTAAGCCTTTCCTTAAAGTCATCTTCGTTGGAAGAACTCGTTTACAGAATTTCAGTGTTTTTTATGTGTATGTTTCACTGGTACAAAAAAGTGACAGAAAACATCTCTGTAAAATGAAGACACCAAGAGAATGCATTCTTACGGGCATGATTTCCCTCTAAATCTATAGGTTGCATGCATCAGATTTGTTTAAATTTAAACTGATTCGTTTTCTAATGAGTGTCTTTGGAAATACGTTTGTCTCTGCTAAGCTGATTCCCATAGGGGACCATTTTGAGATCAGATTAGTTTAATTTAAACGGGTCCGATCCATTTAACCCTATATCTCAACAGATATCGGTAAACTCGTACTGTGTTTCATATTTCAATGTCGCTCTGTCTCATATGAGTGAGAGTTTTTCTTGAAGTATTGCTTAAAGGGCCTCGAGGTGATAAATACGTAAGTAAAACCTTCTCATAAATCAGTACGCCAAGAACTCGAAACCCACCAAATTTTACATCAGTAATCTACCAAGTTTAGATGATGCAGACATGTCTTTATATCTATAGGGCAGTGGGGCAAATCGGTCACGATTTTTAGTTTTTCTTACTCTACAACGAACTATAATTATCTAATACTATCGAGTTTGTTTGCCCTTCTGGCAAACGAACTCGCTAAAGTCGCGCCTTCGGCGCTCCATTACCTTGTATAGTCATTAATTCATTTATATTTTGCGAAAAGGCAAACGCGTAAAGTACGTCCCCATTGAAATACGAGACATATGGGACGAAAGTCTTGATTTTTATCAAAATCAATACTTCTATGATTTCTTATGTGCTTAACTTGATATATTTTCTTGTATACCTTTTTGTAAGAGTGGAGAATACATTTTGAAAGACTTCCCTCCAATAATCTACGCTAAGGATACATATTTCAAAAGTAGGATTTTACCTGCACTCAGCCATCAAACAGGTACTTCTGAGGTAAGTTTAAATTTTCTGTCTATTTCGTTTTATAAAAAATCAACGAAAATGAGACTGAAAAAAGTGCCCTAATAGCTTTAAACGGATTTTTTTTTTAAATGTAGATTCAGGGAACTCCATACCAACCAGTTTCAGCCCCTTTTTGCTGGCGGAAATAATGTATTTGGAAAAGCGACCCACCCAAAAGCTGTCTTCTGAGGAGACGTATGGAAAGTTTCATTTTTCCATGAATCAACATCACGGAAGTGATGCGTGCGGCAGCTACTTTTCTATATCTGCCCGGTGAATTCTATATCTGCCCGGTGAACTACATGCCCACAAAGTTTCAACATTATACGTTTGCCCTTTTCGCCGGTAAAAAAACATGCTTGGAAAAGCCGACGCACCCAAAAGCTATACCCGGAGGGGATGCCCCATGAAAGCTGGATACTCCCTTAACTCAATAATATCATGTCACTTATACTTGTGCAAAGTTTCACCTTTCCATTTCTGCCCGATTCGCCAAAACAATTTATTTTTCATAACATCGCCCCTCAAAAAACTCCCCCAGGGGATGTATCGAGACTTAACATCATTATTTAACGCTTTGTCTCAGTAGTCACATTCATGCGAAGTTTCAGTTTTCCATGTTCATCAGTTTAACTAATGCAAAAACATCAGTTGAAAACATCTCCCTTTGAAGTTTGTGCCCCGAGGGCAATTACTTCTAATGTCTGAAGTTTTCTGCAGCATCCCAAGAAGTAGTTATGTACCAAGATTCATCTTTCTACCCAACTCTATACGCCAGGACAAAAGGAAAATACTTGAAAAGGTCGACTCACAAAAATATGCCCCCAGGCATAGATCTATAATTTTTCATTTTTTCTGAACGCACCGTTTTGGTAGTCACTTCCATGCCAAGTTTCAGCTTTCCATGTCTCTCCGTTTTACTCAAGAAAAAATAATGTTATGGTGGGTGAATGTGTAACGGGATATGGGAAGCAAAAAAAGCCAAAAGAAAGCCAAGGAATGACTAAAAAAATGGCCCTGATGGGTTTTAACGATTTTTTTTTTCCTTTTGAAATGAAGACTCAGGGAACTGCATGCCACCCAGTTTCAACCTCATACGGTTCCTTTTTTTGCTGGCGGAAAAATTTGCATTTGGAAAAGCGACCCACCTCAAAGCTGTGCTATGAGGAGACGCACAAAAAAATTGAAATTTTCCTTAAATCAGCATCACGTCCGTTATGCGTGCGTCAGCTACTCTTCAATTTCTGCACGATTCGGTAGGATATGAAAAATTATGTTAAAACGTTACGTCCTCAAGAAATATGAGCCTCAAAACTATTTTGGAAATTTGACATTTGAGCTCAGTGCGTCAACGGTCACTTTGTTGCCAAGTCTTTGTTTTCCATGTGTGTCGTTTGAAGCAAAGAGAACTATTTGAAAATATGTTCTCCGAAATGTGCGCCCCTATGGCATGCATCACCAAAGTAGAACTTTTCCTGAACTCAGCTTGCGAATAGCAACTTATGTCAGTCAGTCAGCTACATACGATCGTCCATATATAATAAAATTGGAATTTTTCTTTACGACCCTATCCATCAGGTACTTATCTGCCAAGTTTTTTTTTTTAACTTTCATGCGCCCTCTGATTTGCTGGATCAGAAAATTCATGAAAATACGCCTTTTGCAAAATATGTGCCTTGAGCCGGTTTAACCGAAACGTACCATTTTTTTAAAACCGAAATCTATCCTCAGTGAACTGCATGCCCACACCGTTTCAACCTCATACGTTTGCCCTCTTCGCTGGTGAAAAAACATGTTTGGAAATGCCGACCCACCCATACGCTATGCCCGAAGGGGATCCACCATGAAAGCTGAATACTCCGTCAGCTCTCTGATATCATTTCGCTTATTTACGTGTGCCAAGTTTCACCTTTCCATTTCTGTCCAATTCGCCACGACAATTTTTTTCTTCAAAGCATTGCACCTCGAAAAAATTCCCCCAGGGGATGTATCGAAACTTAACATTGTTATGTAACTCCTTGTCTCAGTAGTCACATTCATTCAAAGTTTCAGCGTTTCATGTTCAACTGTTTAACTGATTAATTGAAAACATCTCCCTTCGAAATTTGTGCCCCCATGGCATTTACTTCCAAAGTCTGTATTTTTCTGCAGCATCCCTATAGGTAGTTATGTACCAAGTTTCATCTTTCCACAAAGCTCAATTCGGCCGGTCAAAAAAATAATTGAAAACGTCGGCCCCAAAAAACATCCCCAAGGGCATGGATCTATAATTTTACATTTTTCCCGAACTTATCGTATTGGCAGGCACCTCTATGCCAGGTTTCAGCTTTCCATGTCTCTCCGTTTTATTCTAGCAACGGGACATGGAAGGCAAGAGAAGTAAAAAAAATAGGCATGGAACAGCCGAGAATTGAACGATTATTAGTCCTCACGATTATTAGTCCGATTTGTTACTTCTACACCACCGAAACTTGGACATACAATAGCATCTCCTAATCTCATCCTTATCCAGCACAATATATATTTTTAAAAACTTCTCCACGCTAATTCTAACCATGTTCTAGAAGGGTTAGAAATCTAAAGTTTGGTGGACATGTACTTTTTAGGATGCAAAGTTAAAAAAAAATACCACTTTGGAGGTACATGCCCTGGGGGTACAAATTTTCGGGGGAAACTTTTTCCTTCAATATATTTTGTGACAGATGAGGAGGGCATTCAGAGACTCAAATGGATGGGGTGGTATCGGTGGTATAGTAGTATCATAACCGACTGCCAATTAGAAGGTCTGGGTTCAATTCCAGCCCATTCCTTGGCTTTACTTAGCTTTTTTCTCTTCCATGTCCCGTTACTCATTCCCCCATCTTAACATTAATTTTGCTTGAGTAAAAAGAAGAGACATGGAAAGCTGAAACTTGGCACACGTATAAGTGACATGATATTACTAAGCTGAGAGAGTATTCAGCTTTCATGGAGCATCCCCTCCGGGCATAGCTTTTGGTTGGGTCGGCTTTTCCAAGCATGTTTTTTCACCAGCGAAATGGGCAAACGCAAAATATTGAGAGTTTGTGGGCATGTAGTTCACCGGGCAGGCATGGAAAACTAGCTGGTGCACGCATTACTGACGTGATGTTGATTTAAGGAAAAGTTAAACATTTTTCATACCCCTCAGAGGTCAATTTTTTGGGTCGGTCGCTTTTCCAAATCCATTTTTTCCGCCAGCAAAATGGGGAATCGTATGAGGCTGAAGCTGTGTGGCATGGCGTTCCCTGAGTCTACTTTTTAAAAAAAATTCGGTAAAACCCATTAGGGTATTCTTTTCAGTCCCATTTTCCTGATTTTTTTCTTGATCCAACGAAACAGAATCATTAAATTTAAACATCCCTCAGAAGTACCTGTTTGATGGCTGAGTAGAGGAAAAATCCTAATTTTGAAATATGTCTCCGTAGTGTAGATTTTGGAGGGAAGGATTTCAAAATGTATTCCCCACCCTTACATAAAGGGTCAAAAGAAAAGATTTGTAGTTATGCACACATGAAATCATAGAGGTAATGATTTTGATAAAAAGCAAGACTTTTGACCATATGTCACGTATTTCAAAGAGGTCGTACTTTAAATGCGTGTTTCCCATTTCGCAATAAATGAAGTAATCACTATCCAAGGTAATAGAGCGACGAAGGCGCGATCATAGTGAGTTTGTTTGCCCGAAGGGCAAACGAACTCGCTAGTAAGAAATAATGACACAGAAAAACCTTTGGAACCTCAAACGGCCATGTCATTCAAGTACTTATTCAGCCCAAAACGAAATCTGGAATATTTATATATTAACTTGATTTAACAAATTAATAGGTGGTCGGCGTGACCGATTAGCCCCAGGGGGTGGGGCTATTGATATTTCGGTCATCTGTATTCCGTGTCAGTGTTTGCTCTACTGCGCGATTCCAGGGGCTCGTCGTTCTTCTCTCCTTGAATCCCTTGATTCCCCCGAGATATCAAGGTCGATTTGCTAGGTGGGCTTATTGAGAGTCTGCTTTTTGGACGGCTTGCGAACGATCTTCGTCTTCTTGCTTTGCTCAGCGTCCTATTCAGCGAACGTTTTGAGGGTTTCCGCTGAAGTGAGACATTCGCCGTACTTCTTCTGAACCCGGTGACGCCATAACGACAAGCAGTGACCAATTAACCCCACATTAACCAATCACGGCTGTCCATATTCTAAACGATCAACTCCGAATATTCTGTCTGCGAGGAATGTCTCTAGTTCGACAAGCAAAACCGTATTACCATAGCAAATAATACTCACCAAAACTAACATTTTTCGTTCAGTCTATCTATATTCGCTATCACAAAAAAGAAGAAATATGAAAAAATAAGAGAAAAACGATTCATTTTGTATGTGCCTGAAATAAAGATATTGCTGCATTTCATTTAAATCAGTTCGAATTAAAAAAAAAATTGTAGTGCTGACTTTCTTATTTCATATTGTCGGTAACTGCCGAAAATATCCTTCAAAGCATAACACCGAAAACGCACGTTGAAGAGTATGCTTTTCTGGGCTAACCTGTATATTAGATTTAAACAAATCATAGTGGAGCATTTTTCATAAGCAACATAATTTGATCATTACATCAGAAGAATATGTAAAAATCATATTGTCGAATTTAGCATTACCACATAATAATATTGGAATACTACATACATTCCGCTAAAAATTTATCATGATTGTGTAACCATTGTTTCAACATCGCTGGTGAATAGGTATGTTTAAAAATTAATAACTTCATAATCAAGCGAAAATTGTAGTAAGTTTTTGTACAATGCAATAGCTCATGCCTTCTAGTATCAACGGGATGATTATGAAAGAAATCAAAGAAAGGCTTTTTTAGTGAAAAAAAAATCATTTTCCCTAATTTTTTGGAAAATGATGAAAATTGTCAATATCAAATTCAGTAAGAATTATGGAAATGCCAAAGGGGAACAAGACAGGCGAAATTGTGTAGTTTATGAAATATATTTCAATCCATATGGGATGCGAATTTAACTGACAAAAAAATTCGCCAAAAACCAACAAATTCAGTGGCTTCTCCCATTTTGACAATTAAAAATTACGTGTAACAATTAAAAATATCATTTTTAAACACGTAATATTTAATTATCGCTGTAATTTAATTTAATTTAACAGAGCTGATTTCTATATGTGAAAACAATACGTACTTTCAAAATAGCTGTAAATTATTTTCAGAAATTTATGTTTATTAGTTTAAGAGGTACTAGGTACAACAAATTGAAAGTGGGGGAAAACAGGGACTTTGCAAATCGCCCGTTTTAGAGCCTTCCACTTATGAATTATATTCTCAGAAACTATTGCTGATGCAGAAGTAAATCAGCTATCATATTCCATCTCTCGGACAGGAGGATCATATATTTTTTTGAAAAAATCGATGACTATGACATGACAGACGGTGCCTGATTTGAAATGGAACCACCCGATTCATTTTCTGCATGCCTAAAATCGAGGTTTTGCTGTGCTTCATTCAAATTTGGATAATTAAAGGGCGGTGCGGGCCTATTCGGTCCCGATAGGCCTACCCGCGCTTTGGTTATTTTTTTTCTGAAATCAGCATTTCAGTAGTTATAAGTACGCCAGGTTTCACCTTTCTATGTACAGGTATTTCCGTTCCACTGAAGTTTTTTAACACGTTGTTCTCAACAGTGCACTGTAGTAAACAAATTTTATTTAAAAACGTCCCCCTAAAAAATTGTGCCCCTAGGGGATGCATCTCTCGGTTTTATTTTTTGAACAGTAGATCTTATTTGCATCTGAAGTACTAAATTTTAGGTTTCTACCATATCAAGACCGAGGATAGAATTAGCTTGAATTAGTCACTCATTCTCTCGCGATCGTCTGCTTATATTGGAAGCTTTCGAGATCTCTCAATTAGACACATGGCTTTCAGAATCCATTGCACCTTCAGCGTTTAGATGTGATGATTACATGAAATATAACCATGGCGTGAAAGGTCTGAAGTGTCCTTCAATTGCTGAGATAATGAATTCCACGATTTTGCTGGCCATGAACGCATTTTCTGTTCTAGTGTATGATGAAGTGAGAAGTGCCCCATCGAGTTTATTTAGGGATCTGATCAGAAGGAATTGGAATGGGATGAGGACATGCTTGGGAGATAGAAACGTGAGGATTCAAATGCATAAATCAGAATTTCTGTCCATTGAGCAACGGGATGACATCATGAATGTGCCGGAAGGGGCGAGGATTGACCCCCTTATAACTGCACTATCAAGAGGAATAAATGCCAGAAATTTCCAGAGATTCCTCACGATGCTAGAAGAAAATCAATGTGAAAGTTTAGCTGAAGATCTCCGCGTTCAAGGTAAGTAGCTGACCATGCTGGTCTCTCTTAGTCTCAAATGCCAGTCAGCTTTTTCCCTATCTGTGGACAAGGCATATACATACGTTATTCCAGCAAACATGCTTCCGCGAATGAAGTAATGCGGCGCCCAAATTGCCATTGATTCAATGCTATCAAGGTGTGTGACGCACCATGGGTTCCCAGTAATTTTCATGCGGAACCAGAACTATTTCTACAAATATTGTAGTGGAAGGCTTTCGAATTTCTTAATGCTTTAATTCAAAGGGTTATTGAGGTAGAAATGTGATATGTGTACGGAAGCCCCTTAACCTCCTCTATTTTTCTTGTGGCCCTCCTCTGTACCCCCTCGAGCGCTAAAATGTCACCTTTATTTGTAAGTTTCCAAACTGGATGCAATATTCCAACAAGGGTCTTACCATACGACAGAAGAATAACTCGCGAGTTCCCAGAGCTGAAGCTATCTTGCAAATTCTATATTCCATTGAAGCTATATTGCATTCAATGATTTCAAGTGAAAGGATCAACATAAAAAATTGAAATTTTCAGGGTTTCCTCCCATGATCAAAGAGGTAATAACAAACATAGAAACATAGATTTACATGGGTTCTACAAAACAGCAAAATTAAAATTTTTTATCCCATCAGGAACCTAAATAATTGCCTTAAGAATTACACCATACATAAGCGAGTCAATTTGTTGCGCAACCATGATGCAACAGAAGCGGTGCAAATAGGATTAGGAGTAAAAAATATTTTATTCCACAATAATACAAAACTTTACAATTGGAATTTTATCAATGTTACCCCAATTGAAACCCTATCGATCGCCTTGAAAATCTTGATAGACATGTGCGAGATCATTTGTTGCGAAACCATACTGAAGCTGTTGCGGCACAAATGGGTTTAGAGTGGTTAACAAATGTTCATTTAAAGGGAATCGGGAAAATTGTACTTTTTTTAAATTGAGCAATGTTTCTCCATCAGGAACCTTACCAATTGCCTTGAAAATCTCGACAGACATGAACCGGTCATTCTGTTATGCAATCATGATGCAGCAGTTGCGGTTCATATCTGGCGAGATTTTCAGGGCGATTGATAGGGTGTATTAAGACCAAAAACTGAAGTAATCCCAGGACGGCTTCGACATTGCCCACGCTTCCCCATTTACCATGGCTCGTGGCTCTCTTCCCAAAAGTTACTGATCCACTCGCTCGCCCTACCATGGATCCCGCGCGCATCCAATTTTACCCGCAATCTCTGGTGAGGAACGGTATCAAAAGCTTTCGCGAAGTCTAAATAGACGACGTCCACGGGATTCCCCTCATCCTGGGAAAACATTTCCCAGTGTTTATGTCGAGATTTAACATTTTCCTTTAGCTCCTTGTCTCGGTAGTCACTTTCATGCAAAGTTTCATCTTTCTATATTCATCAGTTTAATTTATGCAAAAAAATTATTTGGAAACATCTCCCATTGAAATTTCTTCCCCCGTGGCATTTACTTGCAAAGTCTTAATTTTTCTGCATGCAGCATCCTAATAGATAGTTATGCACCAAGTTTCATATTTCCACACTAGATCAATAAGCCACGGCATAAAAAAAAAATACATGAAAACGTCGGCCCCTAAAAATATTCCCCCACAGGGCATGGATCTTAAATTTTACATTTTTCCTGAACTCATCGTCTCGGTAGACACGTCCAAGCCAAGTTTCAACTTTCCGGGTTTCTCAGTTTAACTCGAGCAAAAACATTGTTAAGGAGGGGGAATGAGCAAAGCGACTTGGAAGGCATAAGTGGCCGAAAGAATGTCAGGAAACGGCGGGGAATTGAATCCGGGCCTCCTGATTGCTGGTCAGGTGTGCAACCATTGCACCACCAAACCCAGGCCATCCAGTGAAGCCTCTCGATGCTATCCTGATCCGTCGCAATATACTGCATATATCTTTAAAAACTTCTCCCCCAAAAAATGTGCACCCCCAGGGCATGTACAACCAAAGTCGACTTTTTTATGAACTCTGAATCTCAGTAGGTACATGTGTACCAAGCTTCAGATTTCTAACTTCTCTAGAACACGATTAGAATTAGCGTCAGTCAGTCAGGCAGTCACGATCGTCTATCTAATATATATAGACGATAAGAAGGATTAGAAATCTGAAACTTGGTACACATGTACCTTTTAGGATGTAGAGTTCAGAAAAAATCCGACTTTGGAGGTACATGCCCTGGGGGTACATATTTTTGGGGGAAAGGTTTTCCTGAAATATATTATGTGACAGATGAAGATGGCATTCAGAGTATCAACTGGATGTGCAGGGTTCGGTGGTGTAGTAGTGGCATATCGGACTGGTAATTAAAAGGTATGGGTTCAATTCCCGGCTATTCCTAGGCTTTCAATTGGCTTTTTTTGCCTTCCATATCCCGTCACTCATTTCCTCACCATAACAGTATTTTTGCTTCAGTTAAACGGAGTGACATGGAAAGCTGAAACTTTGCATGAATGTGACAACTTGGACAAGGAGTTAAATAAACATGCTAAATCTCGATACATCCCCGGGGGGAATTTTTTCGAGGTGCGATTTTTTTAAGAAAAAAATTGTCGTGGCGAATTCGACAGAAATGGAAAGGTGAAACTTGGAATACGTTTAAGTGACATGATATTACTGAGCTGAGGGAGTATTCAGCTTTCATGGTACATCCCCTTCGGGCATAGCTGTTGGGTGGGTCGGTTATTCGAAACATGCTTTTTCACCAGCGGAAAGCGAAAATGTATAATATTGAAACTTTGTGGGCATGCAATTCACTGAGGATGATTTTCGGTAGAAGAAAGAAGATACTTTTCGGTGAAAACGGCTCACGGCACATATTTTGCAAATGGCATATTTTCCCGAATTTTCCGATCAGGAAAACAGGGCGCAAGAAGTTTAAACTTGGCAAAGAAGTACCTGATGGATAGCTGAGTAAAAAAAAAATTATACTTTTATTATAAATAGACGAACGTGAGTAGCTGACTAACTAACAAGTAGCTATTCGCATGCTGAGTCCAGGAATGATTATACTTTGGTGATGCATGCCAAAAGGGTGCACGTTTTCGGGGAACATATTTTCAAATAGTTTTCTTTGATTCAACCAAACGGAGACACATGGAAAGATTAAACTTTGCAAGAACGTGACCGCTGACGCACTGAGCTCAAATGTCAAATGTCAAATTTCCAAAATATTTCCGGGTTCATATTTCTGTTTCGTTGGATCGAATAATAATTCACGAAAATGGGACTTAAATAAAAGTGTCCTGATGGGTTTTAACGAAAATTTTTTTTTCTNCAAAATATTTCCGGGTTCATATTTCTTGGGGACGTAACGTTTTCAAATAATTTTTCATTTCCTACCGAAACGGGCAGAAGTAGAAAAGTAGCTGGCGCACGCATAACGGACGTGATGTTGATTTTATGAAAAATTCAACTTTTGCTGAGCGTCTCCAGAGAGCACAGATATTGGGTGGGTTGCTTTTCCAAATATATTATTTACCTCCAGCAAAAAGGGGAAAAGTATATGGCTGCAACTGGGTGGCATAGTGTTCTCTGAGTCTATATTTCAGAAGAAAAAAAAATTTTCGTTAAAACCCATCAGGACACTTTTATTTAAGTCCCATTTTCGTGAATTATTATTCGATCCAACGAAACAGAAACAGAAAATTTAAAATTCACTCAGAAGTGTCTGTTTCATGACTGAGTACGGGAAAAATCCTACTTTTGAAATATGCCTCATGAGAGTAGATTATAAGAGGGAAGTATTGCATAATGTATTCTCCACCCTTACAAAAAGGGACACATGAAAAGATTTCAAGTTAGGCTCTGGAAGTCATAGAAGTAATGATTTTGATAAAAATGATGACTTTCGTCCCCATATGTCACGTATTCCAATGGGACGTACTTTAAATAAGTGTTTGCCATTTCGCAAAGAATAAATGAATTAATCGCTATCCAAGGTAATGGAGAGCCGAAGGCTCGACCACAGCGAGTTTGTTTGCCCGAAGGGCAAACAAACTCCATAGTATTATATATAGACGATCGTGACTGATATAAGTAGCTATTCACATGCTGAGTTCAGGAAAAATTCCACTTGGGTGATACACGCCATAGGGGCGCACCTTTTCGGGGAACATATTTTTTAAATAGTTCTCTTTGCTTCAAACAAACGGAGACCCATGGAAAGCTGTAACAGGGCAAGAACGTGACTGGTGAAGCACTCAGCTCAAATGTCAAATTTCCAAAATATTTTTAGGGGGCATATTTCTTGGGCATATTTCAAAGAATTTTTAATATCCTAGCGAATCGGGCAGAAATAGAAAAATAGCAGCTGTCGCACGAATAACGGACGTGATGTTGATTTAAGAAAAAATTCAACTTTTGCTGAGCGTTTCCCCAGAGCACAGCTTTTGAATGGGTTGCTTTTCCAAATATATTTTTTATCGTCAGCAAAAAGGGGAAACGTATAAGGCTGAAACTGGGTGGCATGGAGTTCCCTGATTCTACATTTCAAAATAATAATAAAAATTCGTTAACACCATTAGTACAATTTTTTCAGTCCCATTTTCCTGATTTTTTTTTTGATCCAACGAAACAGAGACAGGAAATTTAAACTTCCCTCAGAAGTACCTGTTTGATGGCTGAGTAGAGGAGAAATCCTAATTTTGAAATATGTATCCTTAGCGTAGATTATAGGAGGGAAGTATTTAAAAATGTATTCTCCACCCTTACAAAAAGGGACACAAGAAAAGATTTCAAGTTAGGCNTCTCCGAAGGTCGTGTCGCCAGATTCCAAGCGTTTCAACCATCGAGACACCGTGGAATAGTGGACGACGTTGCCCTTGAATGCAGCGCAGATGTTGTCCGCGGCGGCTCTCGCAGTGTCCTTGCAGGAACTCGTAGTAGACGATGGGCGAAGAGTTGCTTGTTCCATATTCGGAAAAATACGCATTTTTGCGATATTTGTGCCCTGAGCCGTTTTAACCGAAAAGTACCATTTTTATTAACGAAATCCATCCTCAGTGAACAACATGCCCACAAAGTTCCAATCTTATGTTTGTCCTTTTCGCTGGTGAAAAAACATATTTGGAAAGGCCGATCCAACCAAAATCCAAGCCTGGAGGGGATGCACCATGAAAGTTGAAAACTCTCTCAACTCAATAATATCATGTCACTTATACATGTACTAAGTTTCACCTTCCGATTTCTGTTAAATTTGCCGCGACAATCTTTTTCCAAAACATCGCCCCTCGAGAAATTGGCACTTAACAAAGACTTAACATTTTTATTTAACTCCTTGTCTCAGTAGTCACATTCATGCAAAATTTCAGCTCCCCATGTTCATCAAATTAACATATGCAAAAAAATAACAGGAAAACATCTCCCTTTGAAATTTGTGCCCCCAAGGGCATTTACTTCCAAATTCTGAACTTTTCTGCAGCATCCCAATAGGTAGTTATGTACAAGGTTTCATCTTTCCACACTAGCTCAATACGCAAGGACAAAAATACTTAAAAACCTCGGCTCACAACAATATGCCCCCAGGGCATGAATCTGAAATTTTCCATTTTTCCTGAACTCATCATCTCGGTGGGCACGTCCATGCCAAGTTTCAGCTTTCCATGTCTTTCCGTTTTATTCAAATAAAAGTTAGGTTATGGAGGCGGAATGAGTGGACATGGAAGGCAAAAAAAAACAAAAGAAAGTCAAGGAATGGCCTGGAATTGAACCTGACCTGATTGCCAGTCAGATATGCTACCACTGTACATAGCACCTGGAAAAAATTCCCCCAGGGGATGTATCGAGACTTAACATTTTTATTTAAGTCTTTGTCTCATTAGTCACATTCATGCAAAGTTTCAGGTTTCCATGATCATCAGTTTAACTGATGCAAAAAAAAAACAAAGCAAATGTATAAAACTATTTAGCTTTTAGAGGGTTTGGCCTACCCTAAAATTAAGGAACGCACGACCCCGACACGTGATATCGAAATGGGCGAAATCGTCTCTTGATATCACTAACTCTCTTGACTCTTGACTCTTGAAACCATCTTCTTTTGAAAATTGTGCCCCCAGGGCATTTACGT